TACTGCCGCGTCAGGTACTAGTGAGGCTGCTGCCCTAGGTGCCAGTGCGTCTGTGCTCTCAGGTGCTGGTGAGTCTGCCCTCTCAGGTACTGTGTCGGCTTCGGCCTCTCACACCTTCACCCTTGACTCTGGAGCGTCTCGCTCCTTCTTTAGGGACCGCACCACTCTCACGCCGCTGAGTCGGCCGGTTGCGGTGTCCCTGGCTGACCCCTCCGGGGGGCCTGTCCTGTCTCGCTTCTCCACTGTCCTCCCGTGTCCGGCGGCCCCCTCTGGCACCCTGACTGGTCTCTACCTCCCCTCGTTCTCGACGAACTTGGTGAGTGGTGCTGACCTCCAGGATGCGGGTGTCCACCAGTTCACCCCTGCTCGTCAGCGGGTGACCCACTGCACGGAGGCGGATACAGGTCGCCACCTGGCTACATTTACACGTCGGCCAGGGTCGAGCCTGTACACACTGACCACTGCTTCTCCTCCAGGTGCTGAGTCTGGTAGGGTCCCTTCGTCTGGTCAGGTGTTTGCTGCAGCGTCCAGGTCTGGTCCTGAGTCTGCCCCCTGCTCGTGTCGTCGTCTGTCTCACGAGACCCTCCTCTGGCACCACCGCCTTGGCCACCCCTCTCTGCTTCGGCTCAGAGGCATGGCCTCGCGAGTCCTTGTGTCTGGTCTTCCTCGGTCTCTCCCTCCCCTTCCTCCGGGCCCTGGCCCTACCTGTGTCCCCTGTGTCGAGGGGCGCCAGCGTGCTGCCCCTCACTCCTCCCAGTTTCCTCCGACAGAGGCCCCGTTGCAGACGCTTCACATGGACGTGTGGGGCCCAGCCCGCGTCCGTGGACAGGGTCACGAGCGCTACTTCCTGCTGGTGGTTGACGACTACTCGCGTTACACCACAGTCTTCCCCTTGCGCAGCAAGGGTGAGGTCACTGCGGTGTTGATCGACTGGATCCGCGCAGCTCGTCTCCAGCTTCGGAGGAGCTTTGGCTCTGACTTCCCTGTTTTGCGTCTGCACTCGGACAGAGGCGGAGAGTTCTCCTCTGGCCTCCTGAGTGCCTACTGTCGTGCACGAGGCATCCGTCAGACCTTCACGCTTCCGGACTCACCACAGCAGAATGGGATTGCTGAGCGCCGCATTGGCATGGTCATGGACGTCGCTCGTACGTCCATGATGCATGCGGCTGCTCCCCATTTTCTGTGGCCGTTTGCGGTCAGGTACGCTGCGCACCAGATCAACCTCCACCCCAGGGTCTCTCGACCGGAGACCTCCCCAGCCCTGCTGTGGACGGGGAAGGTTGGCGATGCGTCGGCGTTCCGGGTCTGGGGATCTCGGGCGTTTGTTCGCGACCTGTCTGCGGACAAGCTGTCCCCTCGTGCTTCTCCCTGCGTCTTCCTGGGGTTCCCCCCCGACGCCCCTGGGTGGCAGTTTTACCACCCCACCTCTCGACGTGTTCTGTCCTCCCAGGACGTCACGTTCGACGAGTCGGTACCCTACTACCGCCTCTTCCCCTACCGCACTCCGTCCCCTCCCCCCACCCCCGCTCTTCCTGGTACCAGGTCCCCCCCCGGTAGTCCCCCTCCCCCCTCAGGGTCCTGCCCCTTCAGGTGTGTCCCAGGTAGACGCGGTCGAGCCTGTCGAGGTCACTGGTGACTCTGGTGCTGCTGCGGGAGCTGAGCCTGGGGGTGCGGAGTCTGGGGGTGCTGAGCCTGGGGGTGCTGAGCCTGGGGGTGCTGAGCCTGGGGGTGCTGAGCCTGGGGGTGCTGAGCCTGGGGGTGCTGTGCCTAGGGGTGCTGAGCCTGGGGGTGCTGCGTCTGGGGGTGCTGAGCCTGGAGGTGCCGAGCCTAGGGGTGCTGTGCCTGGGGGTGCTGAGCCTGGGGGTGCTGTGCCTGGGGGTGCTTCGTCTCGCCGGGAGCCACTCCCCCCGCAGGAGCTGCGTGAGTGGTTTGCCAGGCGCTGGAGGTGTGCTGCTGGTGCTGGTGGTTCTTCGGCTGTAGAGGGTACTGCTGCCTCGCGTCCCGCCGGTGCTCGTACTGTGGGTGCTGGAGCTGCTGGGTCTGAGAGTTCTCCTGGAGCTGGTGCTACTGAGGGTGTTGGCGCTGAGCCTGCCGTTGGCGGTCCGACTGACAGTGCTCCTGGTGCTGCTGCTGGAGGTTCTGGAGCTTCGGGTGGTGCTGCTGGAGGTGCTGCTGGAGTGGGTACTCCTGCCGGGGCTGCTGGTACTGTTCCTGCTGTTTCTGGTGTCGCCGCGCGGCCCCGACCTTACTTCGTTCCGCTCCTGCAGCAGGTTCTTGGTCTTCCGCCTCCTCCTCCTCCTCCCTTAGAGGGTCCGCAGCCTGTCCGGTCACAGCCACAGCTACAGCCTGCCTCCCCTTTGCCTGCTCCGTCTCCCTACACTGGTCCGACTGGAGGTCTTACTGAGCGTCGTGAGCCTGCGTCTCGTCCTGTGTCGCCTGTTCGTACTGAGCGCCCTAGTGGTCGCGGGTCGCGTCAGCGTCCTCCTCCTGTCCCTGGCACGCACCGGATGTCACTGCGTCCGTCCACTGCTCCTCTGCGTGCCCCTTTGCCTTCTCCTCCTGCTTCCTCTCTTCCTACTCTTGCCGACCCGGAGTCGGACTCCCTTCGTGCTGCCAGTCCTACTGTCACGCGTCTCCTTGCTACTGCTGTCACTGACCCTTCCTTCGAGTCGTCTGCTGCGTCTGCCCTTGTCACTGAGCTTGTCGACTTTGCTGCGCGCTGTCGTCTAGACTACGCTGCCCGTCTTGTCACTGAGTCTGAGTCCGCCTGTCCTCCGTCCGTCGGGGGTGAGTGTGCCCTTGGCACGGACGTCCTTGAGGACAGGCAGGAGGAGTTCCAGTGTCTGGCCGCCGCTTCACCTCGTCTCGCGTCTGTACTGCTAGCCCCTGAGGGAGACCCGGATGCACCAGACATCCCGACTCCGCGCTCTTACGCGGAGGCGATAGAGGGTCCCTACTCCTCTCAGTGGCAGGCAGCTATGGATGCAGAGATGGCTTCCTGGAAGTCCACAGGCACCTACGTTGACGCTGTTCCCCCCCTTGGGGCGAACATCGTCAGTGGCATGTGGATTTTCAGGGTGAAGCGGCCGCCGGGTTCTCCGCCTGTCTTCAAGGCGCGTTACGTGGCTCGTGGCTTCAGTCAGCGGCAGGGGGTTGATTACTTTCAGACCTTCTCCCCCACCCCGAAGATGACCACTCTTCGGGTCCTGCTGCACGTTGCTGCTCACCGTGACTACGAGCTGCACTCTCTCGACTTCAGCACAGCTTTCTTGCAGGGCAGCCTGCACGAGGAGATCTGGCTGCGTCGCCCACCTGGCTTCACTGGGTCTTTCCCTCCTGGTACCCAGTGGAGTCTCCGGCGTCCAGTCTACGGTCTCCGCCAGGCGCCACGTGAGTGGCACGACACACTGAGGACTACGCTCGCGGCACTTGGGTTTGCTCCTTCTACTGCCGACCCGTCGCTGTTTCTGCGCACCGACACCTCTCTGCCGCCGTTCTACATCCTCGTGTACGTCGACGACTTGGTCTTTGCCACAGCTGACACTGCTGGACTCGCCTACGTGAAGTCCGAGCTGCAGAAGAGACACACGTGCACTGACCTGGGTGAACTGCGCAGCTATCTTGGCTTGCAGATCACCCGGGACAGAGCACGCCGCACCATTACCCTGACTTAGTCACACATGGTGCAGCAGGTCCTTCAGCGCTTCGGCTTCACGTACTCCTCGCCTCAGGCCACTCCTCTGCCTACTCGCCACTCGCTCTCAGCTCTGCCTTCGGATGAGTCCGTAGAGTCGAGTGGCCCGTATGCAGAGCTTGTTGGCTGCCTCATGTACCTGACCTTGCATACCCTCTTAGCATTCTCGCACGCTATGTTGCTCCTGGGAGACACCGACCAGAGCACATGGCTGCAGCGAAGAGGGTGTTGCGCTACTTGTGCAGTACGTCGGGCATGGGGCTAGTGCTTGGAGGGCGCAGTCCAGTGGTCCTCACTGGGCACGCGGACGCTTCTTGGGCTGACGACCAGGCTACGCAGCGGTCGTCACAGGGTTACACCTTCAGCCTTGGTTCCGGCTCTGTTTCGTGGCGGGCTACCCGCTCGTCTTCTGTTCTCGGCTCCAGTTGTGAGGCTGAGATCTACGCCGGGGCTATGGCTGCACAGGAGTTACGCTGGCTCACCTACCTGTTGACCGACCTTGGAGAGCAGCCTCGTTCTCCTCCAGTCCTGTACGTAGACAACAAGGCCATGCTGGCCTTGTGTCGAGAGCAGAGACTGGAGCACAGAACGAAGCACATTGCTCTCCGCTACTTTCTTGCTCGTGAGCTACAGCAGCGTGGACAGTTGCGACTTGCGTACGTGGCCTCTGAGGCCAACACTGCTGATGTCTTCACCAAGGCACTTGCGCCTTGTGATCATCAGCGTTGTTGCACGCAGTTGGGTCTTGTGCCTGTCTTGCCTCACTTGCTCTCCTCTTGACCTTGCTTGTACCTTCGCCTATATATACTCTTGCTCTTGCTTACTTGACTCTTGTATATCTCTATATATGATCTTGCATGTGAACTGGCCATGTGGCCTTGAACTTGTGCTCGGAATGTGTGGTGACTTTGTGATCCACCCTGAGCTTTGCTTTGCTTTGCTTGACTGGTCTTGTGACCCCTTGTTCTCCCCCACTTTGCCTATGGGGGTGTGTCAGAACTATATAGCTTATACTATTGTGTAGGCTATAGTGGGGTATCCCATAGGGGGTACAACCCAATTAGGGTTTCCTATTTGTACTCACTTCTTTCATAGTCATTCCATTCTCGTTCTCTCTTTCACATACAGTAGATGCAGGAATGGTCGCAGCAGGAGCAAGTGGACATCTGGGTCGACTCAAAAGCCAACTCGGAGTTTCCTGGGAATTCTCCTAGCCTTCCGTCTTATGTATTGGCAAGCACCGGGTGAAACCCTTGTACTGATGCAGGACCAATTGCAGCAAGAGCTAGTTGACTTCTGAGTCGACTCAAAAGTAACTCGATTTTCTTCTGGGAATTCTTCTCGCCTTCCGTCTCGACGTATTGGCAAGCCCCAGGTGAAACCCTTGAACGGTTTTATTAAATGCAGGATCAGCCGCAGCAGGAACAGCACGGGCGGGGGTGCCGAAAGCAGGAGCAGCAGGAGTGGGAGTGCCAAACGCAGGAGCAGAAGCAGGAGATGGAGTGGCAAAACCAGGAGCAGCAGGAGTGGCACGAGCAAGCGAAAACAGAGACCCTGAGTCACTTTTCTTTGACGCTGGAGCAGAGAGATGCACATGACCGCTCTTAAAAGGACCAGCCGCTGCTGCAGCAGGAGCGGAAGTACGAGGAGCGCCGAAAACAGGTGGACGAGCAGCAGGAGTGGGAGTTGAAGCACCAATAAGCGGGGCGCCGAAGACAGGAGCAGCAGTTGCAGTAGGAGCGGCACGAAGAGGAGTGCCGAAGACAAGAGGACGAGCAGCAAGAGTGAAAGTTGAAGCACCAAAAATTGGAGCAGGGGCAGGAGAAGCCGAAGCAGGAGCACCAAAGACAGGAGCAGCAGCTGCAGAGGCGGGAGCGGGGGCGGTGGCAGATTTAGGAGGAGGAGCAGAGGCGGGAGAGGGAGCAGAGGCAGGAAAGGGAGCAGAGGCAAAATAGGGAGCAGTTGCGGGAGGGAAGGCGGAGGCAGGAGCAGTAGCGGGAGGGGGAGCGGTGGCAGAGTCAGGAGGTAGTGGTAGGTGAGACAACTCTAAAGCAGAGGTGGATGAGGAAGCAGAAGTGGTAGAAGGAGCAGAGGCAGGAGCAGCGGCGGTAGATGAGGCAGCGGCGGGAGGGAGAGCGGAGGCAGCATCAGAAGGTGGAGGTAGATGAGTCGATTCGGAGGAGGCAGGTAAGGGAGGAGCTGCAGCAGCTGGTGCTGTTGTTGCTGCTGGTGCTGCTGCTGTAGCTGCTTCTGCTGCTGCTACTGCTGGTGCTGCTGGGGCTGCTGCTTCAGAGGAGGAGAGGGGTTGAATCAGCTCAGGAGGGGTGCTGACGCCGACAGAAACGCTGGCGCCGTGGGTAGCAGTACCACAGCTGACGTGAAATTTTGCGCTGACTGAGTCTGTCAAACTGACGGAATCAGTCACCCCGTCGCTGTCATACACTCTCACTGTCAGCGGGTTCTGCTTCTGGAGAACAAACGCGTCATAAAGCTCCTCGCTAGTGGAAAGAGTCAGCACGTCTCCATCCGTGTCAGTGTATCTGAGCCGGAGGCGCTGCTCGGCGGGGATTCTGAAGTGCTTGCGGATTCGAAGGTCGACCAGGTCGAATGGCGGAGGGACGCAGTCGAGAAACGCGATGCGACGAATAGTACTAGGTTCGCCGAGATAGGCCTGCAATTTGGGGAAACGAGGGGGGATTTGGGGGAATATGGAAAGGGGTGGAAAGGTGGGGAGAGCGGTGAGAGAGGGGGTTGTGGGGGAGAGGGGAAAAGAGGGGAATTGGAGAAAGAAGGTGGAGAGAGGTTGGGAGGAAGGAGGGAGAGGGAGGAGGGAGGTCAGACGGCGGAGAGAAGCAAGGAGGCTAGAGGCGGCGTAGAACACGGTGGAGCTAGATCTGAGTTTCGATTGAAGGATAATAACTGAAAGGAAGGGAGGGAGAAAAGGAGGCCTGGGAGGGCCCTTCTAGTCCTCAGAGGCGATCCGAGTTGGAAACTATCCGCGGGCAAGGAGGGACTTCCGCCATTTACACGATCTTAACAAGTCCGCCATGAACTTGAATCGACTCAAGAAGTATGCGCGGGCGAGGAAGTCAACTAACCGACCGGCGAAACCTTTTTATGTGCTACTTGTTTGCGTGCTAACACACAAAGTACAAGCTCTTGGTGATATCATGATAATAAAGGCGGAAGAATCGATGTCCTTTTTCGCGATTGCGTCAATCGCGCGCTCGCACTAGAGAACGCGGCAATGATTTAGGAAAACTAATCATGCAGCCGCACTTGTGCTCACCTTGATTACAAAGGGCGTGCGACACATGGTGAAATTACACCCGCACGGTCGACAGGAACATGATGGGAGAACGTCCGCCATGGATTGGCAACTCGGAAACGCGTCGACGGTCATAGCTAATAGTAGAGGTCAGGTGGGATTGACAGTCACAACGAAAGACTGAGCTGGAAACCGTAAAATTAACAAGGTTGCTTGATAAAGATTGCGTGACACCTAGCGTAACGGAGGAGGCTCAGATGCTAGAACGGAGATGCGACGATGACGAGCGTGGGGCAGGCGTGTCAGAATGAGGAATGGATGTGGCATTGATGTTGGTTGGGGTACATATGACAAACCCTAACTTCTGTACCCCCTAAGACAAACCTCACTACAGGCTACAACATTTGACACACCCCCATAGCCTAAGTGAGGGGTGTCTAGCAAAAACAAAAAAGAGTACGGTCACAAGACCAGTCCAAAAGAAAACAAAGCTCAGGGTGGATCACAACGTCACCACACACTCTGAGCACAAGCAACAGTGGCCACAAGGCCAGTCCAAGAGATCACAAGTATATATAGTAAGTGTACAGACGAAGCAGGCAATAAACTCAAGTCTACGCATGACTAGAACCTGTGTCAACAAGGCCTAACTGCACACAACACCTCTGGTGGTCACAAGGCGGAAGCGCCTTGGTGAAGATGTCTGCAGTGTTGGCCTCGGACTCTACAAACTCGAAGCGAGCCTGTCCACGCCTCTGCAACTCTCGCAGAAGAAAGTACCTGACGTGAATGTGCTTCACTCTGCTCTCCAGTCGCGGCTCACGACAGAGGAGGATCGACGCCTTGTTGTCAGTAAACAAGGTCGGTGCAGAGCTCGGCCGCTCACCAAGGTCGGCGAGCAAGAAGGTCAACCACCGTAACTCCTGTGCCGCCATGGCACCAGCGTAAATCTCAGCCTCAGCTGTAGAGGTCGAGACAGAAGAGGAGCGCGTGGAACGCCAGGAAACAGCTCCAGAACCCAGACTGAAACAGTACCCCTGAGTAGACCTGTGAGTCTCAGCGTCGTCAGCGTAAGAGGAGTCACAGTGACCAGTGAGTACGACAGACTGCTGCCCTCCAAGAACTAGCCCCACGCCTGATGTAGTCGCTAGGTACTTCGCCACCCTCACAGCTGCCGTCCAGTGAACAGGACGGTGTCTCCCTGGCGCAACAAAGCGCGCAAGGATGCTGAGAGGGAAGGCGAGGTCCGGGCGAGTACAAGTCATCAGGTACATGAGGCAACCCACAAGCTCTGCGTAGGGACCACTAGGCTCAAACGGCTCGTCAGGAAAGGGACCAGTGAGTCTGTGGTCAACAGCTAGAGGTGTGCGCTGTACGGTGGAGTGCTGAAGCCCGAACCGCTGAAGGACCTGCTGCACCATGTGTGACTGTGAGAGTGTAATGGTGCGAGCGGCTCTGTCCCTGGTGATCTGCAGGCCAAGGTAGTGGCGCAGCTCACCAAGATCAGTGCACGTGTGTCTCTTCTGCAGTTCGGACTTCACGTCTGCCAAAGCAACCCTGTCCGAAGTGGCGAAAACGAGGTCGTCGACGTAGACCAGGACAAAGAACGGTGTGGAGCCACGACGAACGAACAGCGACGGGTCGGCAGAAGACGGCTGGAACCCAAGGTCAGAGAGGGTAGAACGCAGAGTGTCGTGCCACTCACGAGGGGCCTGGCGAAGACCGTAAACAGGTCGCCTCAGCCTCCACTGGGTCCCAGGAGGGAAGGTGCCAGTGAAGGCCGAGGGACGACGCAACCAGACCTCCTCGTGTAGGCTGCCCTGAAGGAAAGCAGTGGAGAAGTCGAGAGAGTGTAACTCGTAGTCTCTCTGTGCTGCTACGTGTAGTAACACCCGAAGAGTGGTCATCTTCGGGGTAGGTGCGAAGGTCTGAAAGAAGTCAACTCCCTCGCGCTGACTGAAACCTCTAGCCACGTAGCGCGCCTTGAAGACCGGGGGAGATCCCGGTGGCCGCTTCACCCTGTAGATCCACATGCCGTCGACTACGTTCGCCCCAGGGGGGGGAACCTCATCGACGTAGGTGCCTGTGGATCTGTAGGAGGCCATCTCTGCGTCCATGGCAGCTCTCCACTGAGAGGCCCAAGGCCCTGACACTGCCTCAGCGTAAGTGCGAGGAGTCGGAATGTCAAGGGCGTCGGGGTCACCCTCAGGGGCGAGGAGCATGGCACAGAGATGAGGGGAAGCGGCCGCCAGGAACTCTAGCTCAAACTGCCTGTCCTCTAGGGCGTCACAGCCAAGGGCAGACACACCCCCGACGGCCAGAGGACTGGTAGGAGGAGCAGCCACAAGCGTGGTGGCGTAGTCAAGGCGGCGGGTAGAGGCAAAGTCAGTAACTGCGGCAGTAAGAGCGGACACAGAGGACACAGAGGCACGAGGGTGAGTAACAAGAGAGGCGAGAACACGAGAGAGAACAGGACGGTACGTGCGGTAGTAGTCAGTGACAGGAGTAGGAAGCGACACAGTGAGGGCCGACTCAGGAGGAGACGGAAGCACAGACTGAGACGGACGAGGTGGACTAGAAAGAAGGAAGGCAGTACGAAGGTCAGTGAAGGGAACAGGAGACGAGGGACGAGCACGAGGGGAGCGACGAGTAGCCCAAGAACGAGACGGAGGAGGAGAGGACAAAGGCGGAGAACTGGGGAAAACAGCGGGGGAGGAGTCAGGAGGAGGAAACGTGGGACCGTAGACAGGAGGAGAGGCGGAGGAGGGAGGAGAAGGGGAGGGGAGACCAAGGATCCGAAGACCCGAGACAGGAGGAGGAAGTGGCTGCTGCTGCTGCGGCTGCGACTGCTGCTGCTGCGGACGCGGCTGCTGCTGGGACTGCTGCTCCTGCGGGTCCAGCTGCTGCTGCTGCTGCTGCTGCTGCTCCTGCGGCTCCAGCTGCTGCTGCTGCTCCTCCAGCCGCTGTAACTCCCTCTCCTCTCTCTCCAACGCCAGCTGCTCGTCACGGGCACGGCGAACACGAGCCTGGTGCCTAGTCGGGTAGGGGGTGGGGGGGTGGAGTAGTGTCCGAAGCAGCGGCAGCTCCAGAGTCCACCTCAGAAGAACTAGGCGCACCACCCCCAGAGGCAGCACTAACACCAGCTCCAGAACCAGGCTCACCTGAACCCGAAGGAGGCGCACCCTCACCCCCAGACGCAGCACCCCCAGTGTCCGCGCGGCCAGCACCAGCTCCCGGACGACAAGAGTCCTCTGCACCCACCGGGTCAGCTCCAACTCCAGAACCAGAAACTCCAGCTCCAACCCCAGCTCCAACTCCAGCACCCCCAGAACCAGAAACTCCAGTGCCAACTCCAGCTCCAACTCCAGCTCCAACTCCAGCACCCCCAGAACCAGAAACCGGTACAGGAACAGGCGCCGCACCAACCTCTCGAGAGCTAGCACCAGCGGCACGCTGCGAGGAGGACTGTGGGGAGGGAGGCTGTACCGGAGGGGCTACCGAAGGAGGAGGGGTAGCCTGGGACACACCTGACGGGGCTGGACCAGGGGGGGGAGGCTGTACCGGGGGAGCAGGAGGGGGAACGGCAGTCAGGAAGAGGGGGGGAGGAGGAACCGGGAGACCTCGACTGGGGTACCTGACGTAGTACGGAGTGGACTCCTCGAAACGGACGTCACGGGAGTCAAAGAACCGGTGAGAGGGAGGGTGGTAAAAGGTGAAGTCAGAGGAGTCCTCAGGGAAACCAAGGAAGACACAGGGGACGGCACGAGGCGAGAGCTTGTCCGCGGAGGTGTCGCGGACAAGAGCCAAGCACCCCCAGACACGAAACCGCGACGCAACACCAGGGGACCCTGTCCAAAGACTGGTCGGTGAAACCTCTGGTCGAGAGACACGTGGCCAGAGGTTCAGCTGGTGCGCGGCGTACCTGACCGCGTAGGGCCACAGAAAATGGGGGGCACAGGCGTGAGTTAGGGAGGTGCGGGCGATCTCCATGACCAGGCCTATGCGGCGCTCAGCAACCCCATTCTGCTGTGGGGACTCTGGAAGCGTCCAGGACTGACGAATGCCCTGCTCGCGACAGAATCCAGCGAGAATGCCGGAGCGAAACTCACCCCCACGGTCGGAGTGGAGACAGCTGACACGACGACCACGAGTGTCCTCAGTGGTGAGCAACCACCTGATCAGCGTAGAAGTCACCTCAGACTTCTTCGCCAGAGGGAACACTGTGGTGTAGCGGGAGAAGTCGTCAACTACCACCAGAAAGTAACGCTCACGCTCAGGGCCTAGACGAGGGGCTGGGCCCCAGACGTCCAAGTGAAGCGTCTCAAAAGGCTCGGTGGCCGGACGAAGGGAGGAGGAGTGAGGGGTGGCGCGCAGCCTACCCTCGACGCAGGGACGACACGGCGGCGCAGGCGAGGGCGGCAGCGACGGCAAGACACGTGGGAGGCCTAGGACAAGACGCTGACTAGACATAGCGCGCAGACGTGGAAGGGACGGGTGCCCCATCCGGTGGTGCCACAGAACGGTGGGGTGGGCAAGCGACCGGCAGGAGCACGACGCAGCGACTGGAACAGACGTAGGAACCTGACACGACACAGACACCTGGGGGGACGTAGCAACCTGGTGAGGCGCGGGGACCCGAACGGGGGGGGGAACCGGGGGCAGTGGCAGTAGGGGGGGCTGCTGGTGCGGCCCCTGGTGCTGCTGCTGCTGCTGCTGCTGCTGCTGCTGCTGCTGCTGCTGCTGCTGCGGCTGCTGCTGCTGCTGCGGCTGCTGCTGCGGCGCACGCGGGCCAGTGTGAAGAGTGTAGAGACCCGAGCCCGGCTCAGCAGTAAAGGTAGCAAGAGGCTGGTAAGAGTCTCCGTCAACACACACCGCAGTCTCTCCAGAAGGCTCAAACCACACACCCACGTGCTGACTCACGAGGGGTCGCACGCCCACCAAGTTCCGGGAGAACGAGGGGACGTGAAACCCAGTGAGAGACCCAGAGGGAGCAGCAGGACACGGTAAAGTGGTAGTGTGACGTGCAGTGACTGGTCCCGTAGTGGGATCAGCCAACGCTACAGAAACAGGCGCAGGAAGTGGTGTAAGTGTCGTGCTGTCCCGAAAGAAGCAGTGGGAGGCTCCAGAGTCCAGTG